TGTGTTGTCCCCTCCCAGTTTCGCATTCATGTCATCCCAGTTATTAGAATTTTGATGTTGCCAATTGGGGTGGGGTCTTGTCTAGTACTGATTGTAGTTTTCTGTAGAATTCCTCCTTCTTCTCTTGGTCTACGTCTACATTATTTATGCTCTAGGGATGGGGACAATATGATAGCCACTCCACAACTCAGTGTGCTCATGTTTGTCATTTTAGTGACAATATTGGAGTAGATTATTTACTCTGAGGTTGACAGTTTGGAGAGTCCACTCCCATTTCATCTACTTTCGCAGATTCCTACCACTACTATGCCACACCTTCTCATCTCTTTGTAGTCTGGTTAGCCTTGCTAGGTTCGGACATTCCATGTCGCCATACTTACTTTCGCTTTCATTGAGAGAAGAGAAGACATGTCGGCCGGTTGGCATCTCGAAGGCTTCCACCAACGGAGGTCATTTCGACTCTCCGATTCCAGCGTGGAATAAGTTTGTTTTTAATTTTCATACTTTGTTTGTGCTGTTAAGTTTCTTTAGCGACTGAATTGATTTTATGTGTTACAGTTGCTAGCCGTATGCCCAACCTTCCCTCTTTATCATGGCTTAGGACTTGCTAGTAACTAGTGAACTAGTTAACTAGGCGAGGTTAGTGGTAGAATTAGCATGCATGCATTTCGTGGATTCTCTTCAACAACTTCACAACTTTATGAACAAAACTTTTCAGTGCATTGCATACTTCAGTTTCGTCTGTTTTATACTCCTCATGTAGATATTACCGAGGATTGGATTCTGAAGGCTGTTCATGATGACTCCATCGTCTTGACGGTATAAGACGTGATTGAACTTAAATTGAACATTCTTTGTACAAATCAACAGAAGCTATTTGAATTCAAATTTTAGAAGACGAAGTAGTTCTGTATAGTGACATATGACATCTACTATCTCTTCCGGTGGTATCATTGTAAATAAGAAGGATATATCAAAAGTAACCATAAGTTTCTGAGAGATATTAAAATCTGCCACCATTTCTGAAAATTCAAAACTATCTTTCAAACTGCGAACGTCCTGTTTTGCTTAGATGGTTTCTAAATGTTTTGCCAACAACTGGGCAAGCTTGTGGAACGGTGAGTTGACTCATCCTTAGCAATATCCCCACGAGGAGTCTAGAGCAGACGAAACTGGAATATACAATCGACTAAATAGCATTTTACATAAGATTATAAAGCAGCTGAGGAGGATCCATGAAATGCATGTTTATTAATTCTGCCTCTATTATTCTTCTTGCTTTATTTAAACGTTTGAAAAGAAAGAATTGTACAACGAAGATAAGTTCTCATCAATACTCCGATTCTGACATCGTAATCTGAGGGTTATGTAATAAGAGAGGTTGAACAATACGAGTGACTTTAACGGTTATCTTAATAATTGCTGAATTAACCAATCAGGTTTCAGTATTCCAGCTGAAAGGGTAGTTTTTCATAAAATGAATAAAAATAATTGTTCGTTGTAACAGTTGTTAGAGTGATCTTTAAAGTAACTTAATACTCCTAATCTTGGGTAAATAAGTTGCATAGTAAGACTCAAAATCATTTGTTGCTACACACATTCAACTAATCTTCGATTTGTGTTTTGTGGGAATTAATTGATTTCAGACTAATATTCATCCCGGGCTGGCATCAGTTGGAGAACCATTGAAAGGCTGGGAACTGTTTCTCCCTACTTTGGGATTTTTTAAAAGTATGCTCTAGGGATTCAACAAGAGATAAAGCTCACGACTTTCAGGTCTAGTGGCGAGTACATTACTATTCAGTCAATGAATTCTAATCCATTGGTCTAAAATTTTCTACTTCTGTCAATCCAAGGTGTAGGGTGACCGTAATCAAATGCCATCGGCGAGTAATTGTTCTCATATGTAAACTATTCCACGCTACAGATCACTAATTCTCATAAGAAGTTGAGAAATCCACCTTGAAGCAAATAGCTAATGACCACTAGAGAGTATTTTGATTGACAGTTTATGAAGATCGATTAGTTTTAAGACAGTATTCATCAAGGACTGAAAAGAGTTGAAGAAGTATTGAAAGCCACCATTATGAAGGTGGACCGTCGAATCTTTTTTGTACTGTATCGATTCTTGGTAAATGGTTGAACTATTAGCTAACTTCTTGCATATTCTGAGTTGAATGAAAAGAACAATTCACAACTCCTGGTTAGGATTTCAGCTAGTTCATCATAAAATGATTCACTAATGCACATTAGTTTGTTCCCCTGAACAGTATTGCATTAATTGAAAGGATACGTTTTTGTTTTGTCAAGTTGTTATACGTGCTTACATTCAGTCACCTTAAGCTGCGTTTTTTATTCACTGCTTAATATTTCCATAAAAATTTACATTTATGCTGAGTGATGATTGAAAGTGAAATGAAAATTTGGACTACGGCTGCATTCGAACCAGTGACCACTAGGTTTCCTGCCTGGTGCTCTACCAGCTGGCCTACGAGGTCGAACTGCCCACTACATTTTTATTTCACTTCAGTTACCCAGGGTTTGGCCTGACAACTATATGAATTCGTGACGCGTTACTACGGCTTGATCGTATCTACACTGGCTGCCTAGTGAGGACTTCTCATCCCAAAGCAAATCTAACTGAATTAGAGAAGGAGAACATCATATTCATTATCATTTGGACTATCTGAGACAGCCGTGGTTTGGCAAACTAGTATTTATACTGGGTAATGATTGATGGTGAAATGGAAATTTGCACCGCGGCTGGACTCAAACCAGCTACCACACTTACATGTATTAAGCCACAAAGTTTGATTGTTTTTAAACAGACATTAACTACACAGAACTTTAAAATCATACAGGGTGCACATGTCATATATATTTGTTGTCTTAGTGAAAACCTATTTCTGCACATCAATCATAGAAATTCTCCTCAACTTAAGAGACAAACAAAAGAAAAGAAAGGTTATGCAAAATAAGTGATAAAGCTGGTACTCATGGACTGAGATTAAAAGCCTAAGTCTGCTACACAACCAGAAACTTTGGGTATGCAACTGTTTTACAAGCGTGTAGAAACTATTTGAAAGAATTCACTAGTGATAAACATTTCAGCAGAGAAGGGTGCGTCGTGAGTTAAGCCAACTATGTCATACTACTTTGTTCCATTCAGTGACGTCGTTCCAAATTTACCGACAAAGAAGCTTTCACATGCTTTAAATCCTAAGACTCTTCATACAGTATGGATCCGGACAGTATGTCAAATTTCAAATTCACGAAATCTACTGATAGTTTATGCCCACCATTATTTACATCTTCATTAGACTGTTTTGAAAAAACACGGCACAAGTTCAAAGGAAAACGTTTACGACATTCCCACTACCTAAGGTGATGACTACAGGTCTACGTTTGAAATCCCGTCCAAATGCGGTTACCAATCCGTCCCTCAAAATAATCGAAATATTAAAAATACCTGCGCTCGAAAAAACATTGAAGGCATTTGGAGACACTATTCAATTTGCAAAAAAAGAAGAAGTACTCTCAACCCCACCACTGTCTCATATCACAGAATTACTTACAACCCTGATAGAAATACCAAGTTTATCACGAGTGCCTCTTAACACTACACTTCTACATTTCACCATATAACAACACATTCCCTACTCAACAAACTAATCCAGACACATACTCAGTCACAGACTCAGTCACAGATAATCAACAAACTCCATTCCCATTTCTCCCACACACAACACAACATACTGCTCATACACACAAACCATCCAAATCATCACTCATTCAAACTAATGTTCCTTAAACAGCCGTCCTCTCACTAGACACTCACTTCATCCCTCTTTCTACTCGACTTAACTAACGTCTTCAACTCCTATCAATCTCATCAAATATCCTGATGATATGACACTTCCCAGACATACCTCATCTGCAACAGACTGCTCCACACTCAACGACTTCCCATCTAATATTAGACAACGGTCCTACATGAATGGTCGACCGCATACTTCTTCAAAATCTCAAACTGTGAAATTTGTCTCAGATGTCAACATAACTAATGCAAACTGTGCTTAGTTCTCATGATAGTAGTTGTTCATTAGAGAGTGTTACGAGTGTGGTTTATCTCGGTGTGTGCTCCTCTTCCCATACTCTCATCGTCCTCCCATATTCCAATAATTTCTCAAAGAATTCTCCAACTCACCTCCTCCCTACATAAGCAAGCTGACAGTATCTGGCATAACTCAGACTCTCAATTCACCTTCGATACACTCATGCTGCATCATCTGCATTCTCATCTCTACAATTCCTTTCCATCTCTTCCCATATTACTGCATAATCACCATACTGCATTGTGTACAACTTTGAAGATTGTCAACACATCTAATAGTGTATCTCTAAACCTTCGAATTAAAACAATTACGGACAAACATATTAACTCATGTCAACCAACATCTGACAGCAGTTATTTCACCAGATGACCAACATCCTCTTCACTCAAAGCCTTCCACTTGTTGATCATCAGGTGAGAATAGGACCAACTATATAACACTTTATACAAGTACTACTAAACTCCACAAAACCGTATTTAACTCGTCTTCTGTACAATGAATAAAGTATTAGTAATGAACTAACACTAATCAACTTCCGTTTTTCAAAACAAACTAATTCATCATGATGATGATGATGATGATGATGATGAGCATGTTACTATTGATGTGAAATGAATTTAATTGCTAATGTGATTGTCTACCTAAGTTAACTATTATCTCTTTTGTCTAATTTCTACTCATTTCATTTTGCTATGTATATATATATATATATATATACACTGTTTCTGTCTATTTGATACTATATGCTATGCAGAAAATCGTTAAAATATCTTTTAGAATGAAGATATTACTATTATTATCATTATTATTGTTATGAACGAATACTGTTTATCTCATATATGTTACTTTTTCTGTAACTTTGTCTACCCTGCCTCCATCGTTCAGTTGGGTTGCTCCATTCACGCATATGTGGTTGTCCGATGGTTCAGTTATTATTCCCAAGACAGAAGAACACAATGATCATTTCAGAAGACTAGTTTTAAATGATCCTGATTTAATGAAATCTTGTGAAGAATGGTTAAATGAGAATGAACAGGAGAGGAATTTTGTAGAAAATCGTCATCCATTAGGTAAAATGCATCAATGTCTATCAAAAGTCTCCATTACTGATTGGTTGCGTAAAACACCCTCCAGTTGGATTGATTCAAAAGTAATTGATGAAAGTCGCTTACCAAGTTCGAATGAATATCGTACAACAATAATAAAACGTGATGGTGGTAAATCAAAAGTCTACTGTCCACTTTGTATACTGACATCAAATTATATTGCGAGTAGTAGTAGTAGTAGTAGTAGTAGTAGTAGCAGTAGTATTTATGGACAAGGAGATAAACTACGCCCTATACCATTGGTATTATTTTCCTCTTTAAATCGTCCTGTTGAAGATAATCTCCTTTTGAATGATACACTTCATCAGTATACATTAAAACAAATTGAAGTAAGTATTAAAGATACTTTTGATAATTTGTATAAAATCAATAATCAGTTACCAAAATCGAATATAATTTGGAATATTTATAAACCATTATTATATCAATTAAAATTACGGCGTAAATTAGATCAAACTATTGAAAATATTAATTATAAACAATTATATGATACTATACGCATAGATTTACGTGTTATCTGTTTATATAATTTATATGGGAAAATGTTAAGATCATCAATGAATCATTTCAGTGTAAATGCAGCAATTTTTCGATTATTAAATCGTATACCATCATATATATATGTCGATGATAAAGGTGATAAATGTGATATTCCCTTCTTTCTAATTGATCATCAATTGAATTGTAATAGAAATAATTATTCATTCAATGAATACAATCAAGAAATATTGATTTATACATTTCAACAATTTGCTTATAATGCTTATTTAAATGATGCATTAGAATTATCAATGAATAAGAATATTGATGGTACATATAATGTGATCACTGAACAAGGTATAGTAACATTAGGTGAAAGAGAGATTATGCTGTTATCAGCTTGTAATGCATGGTTAATAAATGATATTGATAAACATAATGAAAACAGTTTAAATCATATACTAAAATATGGTAAATATAATTAAATTGTTATCCTTGTCCTGTGTGTGTGTACATACATGCACTCATTTTTCCCTTTCTTATCTTCAATCATTTCACTCATTGTACTGTATGTTACTATAATTAGTATATATTTGTGAAATTCATCAGTATAGATCGAAAATTGATGTGCTTTAAATACAACATTGTGAATGAAATCCAATGATAGTAACAATAATAATAATGATAATAATGATAATAATAGTAATATCTTCATTCTAAAAGATATTTTAACGATTTTCTGCATAGCATATAGTATCAAATAGACAGAAACAGTGTATATATATATATATATATATATATATATATATATATATATATATATATACATAGCAAAATGAAATGAGTAGAAATTAGACAAAAGAGATAATAGTTAACTTAGGTAGACAATCACATTAGCAATTAAATTCATTTCACATCAATAGTAACATGCTCATCATCATCATCATCATCATCATCATGATGAATTAGTTTGTTTTGAAAAACGGAAGTTGATTAGTGTTAGTTCATTACTAATACTTTATTCATTGTACAGAAGACGAGTTAAATACGGTTTTGTGGAGTTTAGTAGTACTTGTATAAAGTGTTATATAGTTGGTCCTATTCTCACCTGATGATCAACAAGTGGAAGGCTTTGAGTGAAGAGGATGTTGGTCATCTGGTGAAATAACTGCTGTCAGATGTTGGTTGACATGAGTTAATATGTTTGTCCGTAATTGTTTTAATTCGAAGGTTTAGAGATACACTATTAGATGTGTTGACAATCTTCAAAGTTGTACACAATGCAGTATGGTGATTATGCAGTAATATGGGAAGAGATGGAAAGGAATTGTAGAGATGAGAATGCAGATGATGCAGCATGAGTGTATCGAAGGTGAATTGAGAGTCTGAGTTATGCCAGATACTGTCAGCTTGCTTATGTAGGGAGGAGGTGAGTTGGAGAATTCTTTGAGAAATTATTGGAATATGGGAGGACGATGAGAGTATGGGAAGAGGAGCACACACCGAGATAAACCACACTCGTAACACTCTCTAATGAACAACTACTATCATGAGAACTAAGCACAGTTTGCATTAGTTATGTTGACATCTGAGACAAATTTCACAGTTTGAGATTTTGAAGAAGTATGCGGTCGACCATTCATGTAGGACCGTTGTCTAATATTAGATGGGAAGTCGTTGAGTGTGGAGCAGTCTGTTGCAGATGAGGTATGTCTGGGAAGTGTCATATCATCAGGATATTTGATGAGATTGATAGGAGTTGAAGACGTTAGTTAAGTCGAGTAGAAAGAGGGATGAAGTGAGTGTCTAGTGAGAGGACGGCTGTTTAAGGAACATTAGTTTGAATGAGTGATGATTTGGATGGTTTGTGTGTATGAGCAGTATGTTGTGTTGTGTGTGGGAGAAATGGGAATGGAGTTTGTTGATTATCTGTGACTGAGTCTGTGACTGAGTATGTGTCTGGATTAGTTTGTTGAGTAGGGAATGTGTTGTTATATGGTGAAATGTAGAAGTGTAGTGTTAAGAGGCACTCGTGATAAACTTGGTATTTCTATCAGGGTTGTAAGGAGTATTGTGGTGGAATAACATTCATCACGGTCTCCGAATGCCTTCAATGTTTGTTCGTTCACAGATATTATTAATCTCTCCATTATTTTCATAGTGGGTTATGTAACTGAAATGGAAATTAAATTTGGGACCTGTGTGTGGAGTCCGTAACTTGGATACGGAAACTATCTTTGTATCTTTCCCGGCAGCTGGTCTGGTGTTTTCTGAAACCACTTCATTAAATATGCAGGCTAGTTGTTGGTATAAAATATCAAGGCATTTTTGAATGGGAAGCTTGAAGTACCATCCGGAACTAATCTATGTGAAGGGTTCAGGGAAGGCTGCGTTGTATAGTTTGCAATATGTTTCAGGCAGTACGTATATAATTCAGTGATCTGAGTTGAGCAGTGAGGGTCTCTTTCGAGTTTCATATATATCAGTATCATAGACGGATACCAGGTCCAGTGTTGCATCTCAAGTGTTGTGAAGTTAACAAGGTTTTGATGACTAAAAGTTTTGAGAATGTTTTAGTCACAAGAATTGAAATCGGCGTATATTATTGACAGGGAACCTCAGAGTATAGGGGTTGCGAAGTCCGTGAATATGTCAGAGAAACTGGATAATTCGGAATGATTACTGTCAGGCGTCACATGAATATTTATGATATAATTAAAACGATACTTGTTCGAGTGTTTTGAGCGGTATTTAACGGTGATGCAACCTATGTAATCATTTGAGAATTCTAAACGTGTAACTCGAAATGTTCCATTGGGTATTGATGAAGGTAGCTACACCACCTCCAGTTTTTCTTAGTAGAGCTGCATCGATTCTGACGGAAAATTTTGAAACCACTAAGAGAAATCATAAAGTTCATGTTCCTAAGTTTCCTGCTGTGTAATTACTCCAGTATAACGGTACACATCGGAGGATATAAGAGATTCTTATTAATCAGTCATAATAATGTTGTAATATTATGTTATAATAATATATTATAATGTTATGATATGTTATAATATAATGTTATTCACTGCCAAACCACTTTGCCATCCACCATGCTGCTTTTTCCTCATTTGATACTGGCATTGCAGAAGGCCGTAAATGTTTTTAAAATGTGCTTGAATATATAATGCGACAAGAGGACATAATAGAATGATTGAAACTAACAAATATGTAGAATAATTTGATGTAATGTGTTAGATGGAAAATTTAGTAGGCCAGCTATCTAAGCAAGCGATTCATGTCAGTTATTCCTTTTTGTTTAGGAAACTCATTCATTCAAATAAACGTTTGGTGAATGTTTAGACAATAAAATAATAATATTCACAAGGCTTATGCCATGAAAAAGCAGAAAGAATGTTTCTATGGAATTCGCTTGTTGGTGATCAGTAGTTTAATCCAATATGTACATTTTATCTTAGTCGGGACTCGTCAGCTGGATGTCAGAAGCAACGAACTGACTTAGTTTACTAAAATAATCAACGGAAAATTATAACTATTGATGAACGGAAGTGATTTTTATTGACTGGAACTTTTCTGGCAATGCTAATGTGTCTGTGAAAAGTAATCAGCATCACCAATATGCTGATAGCGTTTTATCATCACTGTGATTGATTCGATATAATCATTTTTGTTTCTCTTCGTGTTGGATGAAGGAAAGTGCCAAACGTTAGCGTCAAGTATTATGATACTTCTCAGATCTTTGTTAAGTTAATTGACAATTCATTCCAACAGCATATTAAGGTAAGACAAAATAAAAATTTTCAGAAGAATGTCAGTGTTTTATTCTGATGGAGACAATCGGCAAGAAGCCTTGGACCTGAGTTCCCTGCTTGTTGAGACTTTTTAGTAAGGCGTGTTTGCAACCTTCATGGAAATAGTGTCTCATATGAGATTCGAACATAAACCACGCAATGTTCTGGTCAGGGATGCTACCACTGAGTTATTCAGGCTACGATTGATGTCCTGTAGGACTGGGTTAGACACACCTGATTGGTCAGTATTTTTTAGGTTCCATTTACTTCTGGTTAATCAGTGCCAAGAAAGCCACAGCTTAGGCTGATTGACTTTATTCTGATTTTTGCCAAACACCAACAAGATAACATAAAGGTATTCACCTTATTAATGAATATGGATTAAGATTCTTGCCATCCAGAGCGACGACCAATAGAAATCAAGCAATAATAATGTATCTGCATTATTCCAAACCATAGTTTTATTTCTAGTACAGAATTCTCAGCATGTGATATAAGATTAGTTTACTCGTTGTATATCATTTTTCAAATACGTATATTAGCAATGGTGCTGGTCAGCATTACACAATAAAGAATAACAGGATTGTTGAAATGTTGAATAACTTCAGGGATAAGATGAGGGTTCGCTGTTGCAAAGTTGATTTATAAGACTATTTCCTACATGTTTTTCTTCTTACGATACACAGTCTAAATAAGGGGGTATGGTTGAATTTTTGTATGTAGTTGTGCATGCATAAAATGTAATATATTTGTTTCTTGTCTTCCTTGATGACAGAGACAGAGATATATGAAGATGCATAGGATGCTTGTCATCAGATAAAATATTTTTAGCCAGCAGTCTACAAGAGTTCACATGCCTATCCACAACCACATTTATTAACACGATTAGTGGTGTACCAATCATTCTACTAACGGCCTTCAGAGTCCTATGCCATACAGCATAGTCACTTTTGCGGAGTTCATGGAAGAATAAAGGTTGAATTATGCCTGATAACCTGAATTTCCTTATATGAGAGGTCAAGAGAAGGATTTTTCTGAAAATTAGTAAGATATGAGGGGGCCAAGAAAGATCAGAAGAATAGCATAAGACAAGATGGATCTTGTTTATCATATTCTCTGCAACAAAGACATCGATAACACAAGAGTCACGGGACTGAAGCTATTTAAAAAGATCTTCTTCATGTCTTAAGCTAAAATTAACCATATGACAAACATTTGGAAGGATTGTGTCTGGCCATTTAAGGAAGACCAGTTACCAATTTCTGTTAAGAGGTTTTAAACTGAGAACAATCTGAAGAGGAAATGATCGCCGTGGGTACTGTTAGGTCATCTACGTACCTAACAAAGTTAACTTTACCTGAGATCGGTAAGTAATGCGAAAAAAAAGAAAAGAAAAGACATGACTTTTAGGCTCATCAGCTTCACTAAGTAAAGAAATAGAGTGTTTCCTTCTGTATATAGTGTACTTTCTTCGCTCAGAAAAGTTAGAATGAAGCCAGTTCTCAGTACAGGACTCAATGTAAGTGTTGGCAAGTTTGCTGAATAAAAGTGGTCTAAGGACAGAGTCAAAAACAGAAGTATAGTCTTAAGAAGCAGATCTAACATACTTATCATCTTTGTCGAGACTTTCAATCATATTATGATGTACAATATCTCAAGCATCTGAAGTGCTCCTTCTGGGTTTGTAGGCCTTCTAAACCTTACCTCTCATCTTGATTTCATAATCCTAATGATGAAATAGGTAAAAAGAAACTTAGGTAAAATATCTATCTTCAGTGGGATACACTTGAACGTAACGCTTCGTTGAACCCATTAGTATGCATCGGTATCTGGGTTCACAAGTGATATTTACATTTACGTTGGTAGATCAAAATATACGCACACATATACACATATACACA